AGTTATCGACAAAAATATTTTGTTTTTCGATAAGAATAACTATCAAAATATTTAATTTTGAATTTTTTAAATATTTAAGTGCTGGACGATAACGGTGTACGTTACGATTGCTGTACAAAATCAAATACTGGACAGGCTTTGAAAATACTGTACAAAATGCTGTATGTGTGGTCACTCTGCTGTAGGGTAAATATTTTAATTTTAAAAACTACCTATCGAAGTAAAAACTTATATATTAGGTATTTTTATTATACATATCTAATTAATCATATCGCGACCATTACAAATTTTTTAAAATATATTATCAGTAAATTTTAATCGACGCTACCCTTTTTATTTGATTCACACGCTGCTTTCATCAATTATCCAGAATTGTTAAAATAAAAAACAGTCATATATCTCTTTTTTTCTTTTTCCTACCATACTGACACAGATTAATAGGAAAATAGACGTAGACATTTGGCAACAAAATTTAAATTGTTTGAATTTATTGGTGTACGTCAAAAGTCATATGAGACAAAATTTAAAATTTTAATAATTGAAGACCATAACTTTAAAAGGGTCTAAGTGCCAAAATTTTAAATATACAGGGTGTACCAATAAAAACTCCCAGGCCAGATATTTTGAGTAGTAATAGAGATATTTTAATTCTGTAAAAGTCAGTTCATAGAACGCTAAGAGAGCTTCAATTTTAGATATAAATTAATTTTAAATAGGTCAATATGTAGATGGCGCTGCGTTCAATATTTTTTGTTCGATGGGAGGATCTTTCTTATATAGCGCATCTTGTAAGAAATGCATTTTAAGATCATTTTGTTTTATAAACTAATTCGATAAATCTAGCCATTTTTGATATACAGAGTGGGTCACTCAAAACAGTTTAATGCTGTTTTTCGGCATTAATCATTGGATTTTAAGAAAATGCAGACATTTGTCATGTGTCAACCCCCTCCCTTCCACTTCTCCAACCCCTTAATTTTAAATGAGAAATGTACCATGTACGGTACATCATTGAAAAGGTAATTTTGTGGGGAAGTCATAAATATGATTTTTTATTGCGATACTTTTAATTGTAGCGCCCTCTATCGGAAAAAAACCTGTAACGTATTATAAAGTGTGACACTTCATTTGAAAGCTAATTTAATTACTAATTCAATGTACCACATATCATTAATATAAATATTTACATATTGCACTTGCAACAAAATAAAGTTAGCAATAATAATGTTTAAAATAATGCATGACTAATGTTTAAACTATTGCAAGTGCAATATGGAGGATATTTATATTAATGTTATGTAGTGCATTAAATTAGTAATTAAATTTGCTTTCAAATAAGGTGTCAAAATTAAAGTAACGCAGTGTACAGAAATATTTCTGAATTCCCCATTAAATTACCTTTTCAATGATGTGCTGCCATACATGGTACATTACCTATTTAAAATTAAGGTGTTGGTGAAGTGCAAGGGAGGGGGGTAGACACATGACAGATGTCTGTATTGCAAAAATAGTTTTAAATTAGAATAAAAACCAACCTGTTTTAGCATTTTCTTAAAATCCAATGACTAATGCTGAAAACAAGGATGAAACTGTTTTGAGTGACCGACTCTGTACATCAAAAATGGCTAGATTTATTGAATTAGTTCATAGAACAAAATTTGCTTAAAAATGCATTTTTTACAAGATGCGATAGATAAGAAAGATCCTCTCATATACTAACTCTAACGATATCCAAATGTTTTTTGTAGTGGGGTAAACATGGCGCATGTATTTATGCGTATATGGTGTATAACATTTCTCTTTTACTCATAATTTTTTTCCATGCTTTTGGCACTTAGACCCTTTTGAAGTTATGGTCTTTAATTATTTATTCGGCCTCCTCTGACATTTAAACTGCAAAATTATTCTAAAACATTTTGAAAATAATGATAAAGTTCCGCATGAAATATTTGAACAATATTATTAATATAGCTCCTAATGAAGATTCAATTATTTTCAATAATCAGTTTAACTGTCTTTAATTTATTAAAAAAAAAAATGACCGCAACTGTAACATAGACCATGAGTGTATATTTATTTTTATAATTTATTCGAAATACAAAAATTACTGTTTTTCTCAAAATGTTTAAATACATGTATTTTAGACTTTTTGGCTAAATAGTCATAAGTATATAAAATTGAAAGAAATACAGATAAGTAGTTAAAAATATGAACTTGTTTCATAAACCAATGTTTTTTAGAATGATCTCAAAACAGAAGAACACTATTTTGTGGTATCTGGGTATATTTTTAAAAACTCGCCATATTATTTTTTTCTTGCCTAGGTGTGAGACCATTATAGCAAATATTGTTTAAATTAAAAGTGATCTATTTTTGATTAAATAAATCTTAGTTTTGTGAGTGTAAGTAGAAATATTATATAGTTTAATTTAAATACTCATATTTATTTAAAAAATTATTTATTTTTTATATGAATGTCTAGATGAATAATACATTATCATTAATAATTTGATTAAAAATAGACACTTCTTTTTGACCTATTTTTATACAAAAGCTTGCGTTTTGTTTTTCTCTGATGTTGCATAAACCAGAGATCAATAATTTTTAATGTATCTGATCTTTAGTTTAATACAGTAACTTAATGGTGCCAATTTTCTTTTAACTTTTTACCTCCCTATGTGCAAAATGTTCCTTCAATTTTGTCATTTTAAACCCCATTGATAAACTAATAAAATAAGCATATTATACCGATTTTATACATATTAATACCAATTCAGTAATACCAGTTTAAGTTTGCTACTTTATTTTTATTTTAATCTTTATCCTTATGTTTTTATTAGTATCTATTGATTACAGTTTTTTTATTCACCCTGTATAAATCTGCATATAGCTAATATTACAGTATTTCTAAAACGAGGGCTTAACCGCGTCAAAAGTTGTAGGGGAGAGTAGGGCAAAATGGTCCCATTAACAATTTCTTAGGCTAAATATACCAAAACAACGGAATATTTAAGTACAATTTAATCAAACAATAAAACGAACATACCGGAACATAGTTCTCTGAAAACATGATTCCTAATGATAAAAACAACAGAAAAATAATGTAATTCATAAAAAGCTCTTCAGGGACCATTTTAAACCATGCTCTGGGTAAAATTACCCCTATATTTTTTTTGTCAAGCAAAAGTAAAAAAGATAAATTGTATTTGCAAAAATCGCAAATATACACTTTCAGCTTTCCTGTAACACCCGCGCACAATGAATGAGACAATTTTTTGCACAAATTGCAAATAATCTAAACCTCCTTCGCCTGCGATTTACTGAATAATTCCAAGCAAAATATACAAACGGCGTCGTCTTCATCAAAACTTGCCCCTTTATTTTCTTTCTTTTTTCCAAACACCTTTCCGCTTATGGCTTTTCCAGCTGCTTGTGAAGTTGACCTGGGTGTTTTTATTTTTTCTTTTACTAAAAGATAATTTGGTGTGGAGGTAAAAACAGTTGCTCCTTGAGAAGGTCTTGAACTCCTCGTCTGAGGAGGTGCCTGAGGTAATGGAGATATATAAAATGGAGTTGCTAAGGTATACTCCAACGAAGCTGGAATTTAATTCCTTGGTTTGGAAGTATTAACTTTAGAATTTGGGTTTGAAGTACCGACTTATACCGACTTATACTATCAACTTTATGATTTGAAGCAACAACTTCCGGGTTTGACGCTGCAGTGCATAAAGTTTCATTTTCTGATGAGTCTCCTGCATTGTTATCAAAAAGACTGACTTCATCTGAAGATTGTCCACTTGTCTCCCATTCCTCTGACTCATCTGATGAAGATTTATCACGAATTTTTCGTTTCCTTATAGGTTATTGCAGACGTACTTGGAAGTGAAGAAGTACCTCTTTGTGGAGAAGGAGTTCTTTGTTCACGGATGGGAGCACCAGTTTCATTTTCCACTAGATGGCGATCTGTTGTGCAGGATGGTTTAAATTTCAAATTTGGGAATATATTCGGATTAAAGAGACATACCTATTCCTGTTTTCTCAAATCCACTGAGTCCGTTAAGTGTGGCAGCTTCTATACGCTTTCCCAAACAAGCTAGCAATGTTATACACTAATGTTACCACTTTTCCAGAGTTCGTTTTAAGCCTTAAAATAACTTCTTCATTAAAATATGCCATTAGAGGTGAAAATACTGCCACATCCAAAGGCTGCATCTCGTGTGTGCAGTGTTGAGGAAACGACAGCATTATAATGCCATTTTCTCTACAATATTCTATAGCTTGGACAGACTTGTGGCTTGAATGTCCGTCAAGCAACAAAAGGACCTTATTTTCAACTGAACACTGGGTGTTGTTGAAAATGCTTCAAGAACAGAATAAAGGTGTCAGATTTCATGTACACAGATTCATTATAAAGACAAAGTGTTCGATATGGAACACCTTGAAATAATAATTTATTCCTTCTTTGGCGGGGGAATATTATTGCCGGAGTAATAAATTGACCAGCAGCGTTTACACATAGAACAACGCTAACATTTTGTCCCCTCTCAGCACTTGTTAGGAAATCGACCTGCTTTCGCCCTTTATGTGCTAAAATTTTGGGCAGCTTACTAGGGACCGTCTGAATACCTGACTCATCCATATTGTGCATTCTCATTGAAGTGATGTTATTTTTACTTGTAATTTCACCTAAAACAGAAAAATACTTTGCGACTGCTTCTTTATTAAAGCCTTTTGCTCTGACAGCTGAGGTGGCCTCGGGAGTTCTAAAAGAAATCTCTGGGCGTCTCTTTAGAAAATCTCTAAACCCAGCTGTCTTTTTTTCTTTAGAAAACCTACGGCTAATACTATTTCTCTCCGCAAGCTCGTAGGCCATTTGGCGAATGTTTTTTTTGATCATGCCGAACAGTCGATCTTCAATCTCTAAAACATACTCCTTTAAGTAAGTTTCCAATTCTTTAGGCAATGTTGTAGTGAATCTACCAAGGCTTTTTGTATAACCTTTAGCCTGAAAAAAAAGTACGATGATTGGCCGACCTTTCCCTTCTTAGGTACATTTTAAAACTACATATCGAAAGATTAGAAATGAAGCAGTCCAATTTTGTTACACTTACCAATTTATTTTGATTTTTGGCCCGTCTTTTTAAAGTACTCAAGGGCAGATTATAAAGCCTAGCAGCTCTTTCAAAAGGCATGCCCTTAGAAATGTATTCTAAGGAAAGTCGCATTGAATTCGGATCCCATCCTTGTCTTGTCGTTATCCGAATGTACGTTTTAACCAATATTTCTGAAAAGATGATATACATTCAACTATTATGAAATATCTTTCTATTCAGCTAAAAACTTTATTTGGAAGGCTAATCGAGGGTAAAATGGTCCCTGGGGTAATTTAGCCTCAACATGAAGGAACCATTTTACCTCGAAACGTAACAACCATAGAAATGAATTTATATTAGTTACTCCTTATCATTAAAGCAATGCCAACAAACTGAAAATGTACAGAAAAAAATACCTTTTTAAACTTCATATAACGGTTTTTTACTTACCTGAATTGAAACGCCTATAAACACAACTTCAGTGTGCACGAAATTAACAAAATCGCATGCGTTTTTATATGTTATGATAAAACTAGTCCTCTACGAATCACACATCTTCGCAACTTCGTAAATAGGTGGCGATAGTAGTACTGAATGTAGTAAATAAAGCTAAACGGCAGTTTTCTGTAAGTTATGAGAAATATATTAGGGGACCATTTTAGCCGACTTTCCCCTACACCTAATTTCCTTTTACTATCCAATTCCTGCAATTCCTTCAAAATTATGTCTCAGCTCCTCAGCAATTTTTATACAATTCCCCTGCAATTTACAAATTCTTGGCAATTCCTCTTAATTATTTAAATTCCATAAAACATGGAAATTAATCCCAATTCCCCGAATTCTCTCTTCGGAATGAAAATAATTTCTATTTCTATGGTAATTTTAATTTTTTTTTTTAACTGTACCAACTGTACCAATGAAGGAAAAGAAGGATTAAAAACCAACGTTAATAGTAAAAATAAAGTAGTAAATATTTAAGCTGTAGTTATGTAAAGCGCGTTAGGAACAGTAGTGTTTCTAGTGAATAGGTTTTATTTTTGTCCTATAAAGAGACTTAAAATATAAATAGGCTAATGCAAGAAAAACTGACAAATTTGAAACTGAGATACGAAAATATCCCTAATTTTTTTTCCATTTGCATAGTCAACTGCTGCGTTAGAAAATAATAACTTTTACAAGTTTTTTCATTAATTTGAGCATCTTTATCAGTTAGTTGCACACTGTGATTAACTTTTCGTAAAAAGCTCAAAATACACAAATCATACAACGGCTCCTGTGGCACCAAAAAAATGGCGGTCGATTGATATTTGGTCCAAATCCTCTGCATTATGCTTTCCTAGTCTAAATACAGAAGCCAGTAGTGGAGTGCCTATAAATTGCTGACTATCGCTAAATTTCTAACACAATCTGTTGATTCCCGTGTTTTCGACTTAAATTATCGATTTTATTATGATCCCCTAATGAGAGTATAATTCCTATATTACGTGATGCTGCTTTCGACTGAATTTTATTATTAATAGTGTCAATACCACAGTGTTGTCGCTGTGGTACATAGATTACTAGGATTGTGAAACAAACTTCTTTCGATACAAACCATTATCTCTGTCAGTCCTCTACAATTCGCACACCTTCACAACTTCGTACATAGGTGGCGATAATAGTACTGAATGTAGTAAATAAAGCTAAACGGCAGTTTCCTGTAAGTTATGAGAAATATATTAAGGGACCATTTTAGCCGACTTTCCCCTACACCTAATTTCCTTTTACTATCCAATTCCTGCAATTCCTTCAAAATTATGTCTCAGCTCCTCAGCAATTTTTATACAATTCCCCTGCAATTTACAATTTCTTGGCAATTCCTCTTAATTATTTAAATTCCATAAAACATGGAAATTAATCCCAATTCCCCGAATTCTCTGTATTATACGTATTATTATTACCCTTGATAGCAATGATGCAATAAGCAGTAATGATCTTAACATCTCATCATCTTCATCATCATCATCTCCAGTTATCATCATCATCATTATCATCGGATGCAAGACTCCAAATGTTCTTCATTGCTCTCTATCGTACGCCTTCTATATGCATACGTTTTATCTTCGGTCTAAGATAGTCCAAGTACTTGAGAGTTTTGATCGTCTTATTGAAAATAATTGTTTCCTTGAACACTTTTAATTTTCTTTGTAAGGAGGACACGCTCAAACTTCTGATTATATTTAGTTCCTGGCCTATGCATCATTTTTTTGTGACTACGTCTCAATAGGAAAGCTCATCGATTGTGTTAGATATTTTTTTAATAGATCGGCACCAAAAAGTCATTAATGCCATCGGGGTATAATTGACTCTTTTCTCATTATAGTCGCTCATCTAACTGCAAAATATGGTTCGTAGTGTGTTTTACCTGCTATTTGTAGTTGGGCACTACAGAGGAGGGAAATGAACAATAACATGTACTATGTCTCGGCGTTGATAGTTATCGTGTAACCTTTAAAATTCAGTGTAAAGTTACTTATTGCCAGATTTTTCGTTTTTTTTGCTAACAATGAAATACATGCTTTTAGACTTCCATAACAATAAAAAAAGCCCTTTGCAAGCATTTTTTGTAGTCTGGTTTTGCTACTGCATGTGTGAGGATTTTGGCCACATCAGCAGATATTTACGTTCTACAACGAAATTCGGGATATAGCTTAAATGATCTAAATTATTAATAACCTTTTCTCCTAAAAACATTTTATTTTTAATTTCTGTTTATCCCTTAAAGCAATAAGATATATATTTTTAATAAATTGACTTAAATGTGAAAAATATTTTATGGATATTTTCGAAATGTAGATTATCTAAACCAATTTTTGGCTTATTGTAAAATAGTTTTCCATTTCTCTACTGATTCTATCGCTGGACCCGTTAAAAAAATTCTTACTTAAGAAATTTGCGAAGTACCTCTTAGATGATAATGATCAGTTCAGTTTATAAGACTTATTATTTTATAAAAAAAACTAGAAAAGATAAGGTAGATTAATATATTGTAAAATAGTGGTCGCACTTTTATTTTTTTAGCAGTTACAATAATAGTGTTTGCGTAATAGATACCTTAAAAACTATTTAAAAGTTATGTATTATATCATTAGTTATATTTTAATCTAGCTATAACTATATTTTTATAACCATATTTTTTATTATTTTACCACCATATAAATAAATAGTAGGTATATCTGAAATATGTTATGAGTCTGCAATTTCATTAAATCAATAATGTAACTCATTTTTAAATTAACCTGAAATATAACTAATGATTAATTCTTGTTATAAAATGTAGTCATTCTTTTATGGTATTGTAATATTATATAGATGATGTTAAACCTATTTATATGAACAATGGCAAAAGAAAATTAAAATTTTGTTTTTATTTATCCTTTAATTCCATTTAACTAAACTTAAACTAGGCCATCATGCTTTAAAATGTGATGAAGTACGGGGAAGAATATTTTATACAACCCCTTAATCTGTTCACAGCCTATATGTTCTTGGCTCTGTCACAAAACAGCGTCGGACACATTAACGTTGACTTAAGTAACAGTACTGCGACAAAACAGCGCCGCGACAAAATAGCACAATCACAAAATGCCGCTGGACAAAATAAATCGGGTAATTCAGCGCCCAACAAAATTGAGTCAGGACGCCAGGACAAAATTGTGCCAAGACGTCAGGACAAAAAAGTGCCGGTACAAAATGGCGATAACGAATTAAAAAGTGTTATAAATAAGGATACTTAATTAAAAAGAAAGAAAAAATATACAGGGTGTCAATTTGAAATTTGATATTTTCAAATTGACACATCGTATTAGGCATTCCAAACAAAATGGCTGTCGAAGGAAAGGATTGATATATCTAAGGGATTGACCCAGTAAATTGATGCAGGTGTCACTGAGGTTAGGGGGGAAATAGAAGTTAGCTTAAGTTGGCAATACCATGACAATGTAATTAAAAAAAACATAATTTTTCTTAAATTGGCAGTCTTGGCGACTACTACGAATAAAAGTAGCTATGTCGCAACCTCCTTATTAACACACTTTTATTAGCTTGGTATGTATCTATGTAACGGAACATTTGAACGTGATTTACACCCCCTTCAAAACGTCGGATTGATTTGAAACTTTGCACACTTATCAAGGACCGATGCAATAATTTTAATAGTTTGTCTCATTATTCTTATCAGGACCTTTAGGATTAGCGATTTTCCAAATCCGATACCGTATATTCTCAACTTTTTATCAAATTTTATTCAATGTTAGGGGTTAAGGGGAGGGGGTATATTCATCAACTTTTTATCAAATTTTATTCAATGTTGGGGGTTAAGGGGAGGGGGTATATTTTTTACCATCTCTTTCGATCCTCTATTTATCCCTGTACTCGTTATTATGATTAGTCCCAATAAAAAAGTTCGCGTTAGATGCAGTTAGTCAGTTATCTCTGTGGTAACTGTTTTAAGCTTTGGTTTCTTTGAACACTCCGTCGCGGTGGGCGGACAGTCCGTCGGCCGCTGAGGACAGCGATTTTCGCCCGAAGTGGTTTGTTTAAATATAGAAATAGAGACTTTATGTATGTACGTGCTGTTTGTGTATTATGAATAGAAACAAAAGGTACTAAGATGGACGCAAATAAATTGGTTGCGTTATTATTGTTGGAAGAGGAAGAATAAGAAGAAGAACTGGCAATTGCAACCGTCAAAGTTTCCAATAAACCAGTGGATAAGTTGTTTCTGTGTCGCGATACAGAAGGTGCCCTTATTAATATCACTGTGCAGCGGAGGCTTTTTGGAAATGAAACCAAATTTAGGGAATATTTTAGACTTTCTACAAATCTTTTGAATTCGTGTTGAGTTTTGTAAAGGACGACATTTCCAAGAAGCCTACAAGTAAAATGTCCGATTTCCGCCAAAGAGAAGCTTTGCATAACATTGAGGTAAGTTTTGTTTTAATAAGAAAATTCATATTGCACAGGCTGAAAAAATAAAACCATGCACATTTTTTTCAATAATTAGTATATTCACAACTGTAACAAAAATAAACTGAACTTATTCTATATTAACTTATTTTGTACCTATTAAATTCACATTTACTGAATTACTGGTGAAATCGGGCTGCCTTATGGGGATAGGGATTGTACATAGGAAGCTGCACTTGAGGATCTCGATTGGTCAGTTTGTG